AAACTATCATAATAGTAAAAGCCTTGAATATAGTCCTACATTTTGACTTTTCACAAGCTATTTATAACAAACACACAACACCAGTTTCAAACTTAATTATTTAAGAAGTGTGTCCATGAAATCTTATGAGAGCTTCCATTGTAAAAGTGAAATATCTTTCATTGTATTTCCTTATGATTCACCATCCACATAAATTATGCACCACTATATTATCAATATACAGAAATAATTGGAGCTTGAAAGGGAAGAAACAACAAAATAAATCCACAAAAATATTAGATGATTTTATGAATGTTTATTGTTATGTCCCCAGTTAAAGCCATAAACTTTGTTTGTAAAAGAAGAAGACTACAAAGCAAACTAAATATATCACTGTTTATCATTTATAAAGGGAATATAACAGTTAATACCTCATTCAATTTACTATCCTTTCCATCTACAAAAGATGATTAGAAATTTAGAAGTCTTATTTCTACAGTGGGATTAAAGTATGCTAAAAAGCTCTAGAAAATATGTTTAAGGAGGGTTTTATTAAAAACACAACCATATTCTCTTCAGATTTTATGGTCCCATACTATTTCTGCCACTTTTATTTACATTCTTGTAATTCTAGCTATGGACACCTCTTTTATTTTGAGATGCTTGATGACTTAATTATAACGAGTAGTGGGAATTCTTCATTGTTTGTGAGGGAGAAGGTCAACAAATTGCTAATTAGATCATATTGCAGGCTGCATAAATGAACCTCTAGGGATCAAAATGATAGCAGAATATTCTTTTTATAGGTTTTCCCCATTTGTAGTGCACTTTAGTGGGCAATTATCCTTAAAGCTATGAAACCACAGCTTCTCATTTAACAGGGAGAAAATCAATGTGTATACTAATTAGATCCTCCTTAACGTATGTCATATGAAAGGGATTTTTGTGCCAGTTGTTTTCTTTAAAAGTGTAAGCTTCCGCTCATATCCTATGAAATTTCAATTCAGCAATACATATGCTACATAGGAGAACCAAATAAAATATTCCTAGTACCATATTAGTGCAATAAAGAGATACCCTCATTACATGGAGTACTTGACCTTGTATCTTTTTATATCTTAGAAATATTTATATCAAGGAGCCAGGTTTATATCAAGGAGTAATGGTACTTGTAATATGTTCCGTATCAAGAGTACTATAGTACAGTAGCCAAAGCTCTGGCCTTCAAACCATAGAGGTCACCATTCAGTAAAATTGGCTAAGAACAAACACACAGTTTCCCTCAAAATGCCCACTTTATAAACAGGACATCAGTCAGACTCTTTTCCCTCTAACTGTATTTTATATAAATTAGACAAAGAAGCTTGGGAGCCATCGTTGTTAAGTCAAATGTGAAACTATTTCTAGTTAATAGAAATGAAGATGTCTCCCATATCCAGCTTTGTTAGGACTGGTTTCTTGACCAAGAAATCACAGCATTTTTATACCTGGCTTGGGGGAGTTTTCATCTCGACCAAAACCAGTAATTTTGTAAAGCTAATGGGATTTCATTGCCCATTCAAAATGAAGCCACCCCAAAATACACTGCAAAGCTCAGAGGAAATTGGGAATCTGAGGTGGGTGTGGGAAAATAGCATCATTATTCCTGCTAATCAAAATACCTTGGCACTTAGAGCCTGTAAGCCCTGGCTTTATTAGACCACTGCTTGAAAACAGACAGATAGATACATAGTTTAGAACACTTTTTCTGAAAATTCATATTTTGAAAATATATTTTATTTCTAAAGCACAGTTACTTTTACATAGAAATTAGATGAGCCCACAAAGGCCATCCAGTCCAACCTCCTGCCTAGCAGGAATCCACAATCAAAGCTCTTAGAACAGATGCTCTTAATGTTGACAATACTAAATTCACACATTTACTTTAGAATGAGAAGCAAGTCAGTTCATATTGGAACTTGCAAGATTAGATTTCTTAAATATCCCTAATAAATTCTATTCTGTAATCTCACTTCATTGGCCACTGTTACTGCTCATAACAGAACTAGTACACACACATCTTCTTTGATGGTGGGATGAGTGTCTTGCCTTGGCAATGATTCTCTCTCAGGCTTATAGCCTGTCATGTGATTCTTATCCTTATCTGGCTAGGTAGTGACAATCATTAACTTCCTTGGCACAGTTGTTGCAACCTCCAGATCTGTACCTGCAGTTAAGGAGGACTACGAGACAAGAGTGTGGAGCAAATACAAGGCAGTTTTTTTCTTTTACACTTCCTAATTTAGCCATTCCCCAATCTATGTTGCTATTCTATTTTATATATAGAACAATGAATGGGGATGGGTGGGAGTGATTGCCCCAGAGAGAATAGCATATTGCCTTTCTCTAGAATTCAACCACTTGGACCCTCTTTGCGCATAACTGGATAAAATATAGACCCCCAATCTGTAAAACAGTTCTGAATGCACATCTGTATTTTATTGAAAACTCAATTTCATTACTTTAGTATAAGTGATACTTCACTGAGTTCAGGGTCACTGTAAAACAGCAGGCTGTGCAACAAACTGTAAGAATAAACACACCTCCTTAAGAATCACCTCCTGAAAATTATTGGGACTTTCATAGCATATAATTAGAAACTCTGTTTACAAAACCTTGTGTGAGGTATCATACTATTCTTAGACAGATAGGCCTCAGGTACAGTTTAGGTCTGATGCAGAGTAGAAAGACTGATAAAATATATTGCTCGCAGTCTGGCCTAAATTGATTTTTCCTGGTCCCATCCATATCTGAATTGAATTAAACAGTGTTTAAACTTTAAAAAAAAAAACAACACAAAACTTGGCCTTGATTGTAAAGAAATACTTTAAAATGCCATAGGAAATAATTGGACTTCCAAGCCTGTAACTTTGACTGGTTTGTTTCCATTGTTAGATCTAAGAGACAAATAAAAACAAATAACTTAAAATAGATAACTGAGCTCACACCAAGTTGCTTCACGTGCCACCATCTTGCTCCCTCATATTGATTGTTAGGAGAGTTTAATTTATCTTTCATTAAAACCCACCAGGGGTTTAATTGAACTTTTTGAGTCTACTATAAGCTGTGGTCCTAAGTCTAATTAGCCTTAAGGCTTACTGGTTGGTTTTAAGTTGCCAGCACATTTTCTCAGGTGGATGTTTCTCACTGTGTTGTGGTTTTTCTTTGGGGGGGGGGGGGAGATCTTGTTTGAATGACTGGATGCAAATGATATAACTTGGCAATTCTACAATGCATTTATGATATGGATTTTAGGATCCCAGCCTGGAAAGGAAGCATAGTGAAGTGCACCATGCAGTTTAAACCACAGCCCAGATACACATACATGTTTGTGTGTATGGACACAATGGTCAGTATACTAAATGCCAAAACATACTGGCAGAATACACTGGCTTCCCAGCAGCTTGGGAGAATGGTGTATGCATGACACACACACACACACCGCAAGATATTGGGAAGATGCTGTGAAACCACCCAACTGACCAGACAGTGGCAGCTTTTCAGCGCTGCGGCAGCACAGCATTTAGATGTTACATGCTGCATGCCGCAAGAGTTCAGAAAAAATGCTGCTGCAGTGTAAAAGGGGACTTTTATTCAGCACAAAAAGGAATGGCTTTTTGCCACTTCTTTTTGCACCAGAAAAATGCTGGGTTCGGGTGTGGCATGTGGTTGCATGGGCATGCATCAGAGTGAGGGAAAAGAGTGCACCGATCTTCTTTGAAATGAAAAATCCACTAACAAGATTTACTATGCCAGTGACAGTATTTTTTATTTATTTATTGTGGTGGGGGAGGTAGGTTTCTTTTGAAGGACTACCCTGCTATCGGATGCTGATACTAAATGGATGACAACTATCTTAATTGTTATTGGAAATCGCCAGCCCAGCCCTTCATTGTACATAAATATTCTCATCTCTGCACTACTTAAACTGCAAAACAAACAACACAACCTTGAACTTGGTTATTTAAAGTCACACTGTTCATCTTATCTGGAAGGAGAACTTGACCTCAGTACTCTGGAGGACATTCTTTATGAAGCATAGATGGGGAAAAGTGCTTCACTGCTACTTTACACTATCTTTAATGAAAAAGAACAGAGTACTAGACACAGTGATGTACAGAATCAGATGAAAAACAGCCTTAAAATATAAATTAAACCAACTATAAAGAAAGGTAATTTTTCCTGTCTCCATTAATTTTCTCAAGTATTTAATTACATATTAAGCTTTATTAAATGAAAAAATGAAATGAAATGAAAAATTAGTAAGCATAATAATTATTTTAGGTAAAAGGTAAAAGTAAAGGTATTCACCGTTGACAAGGTTGTCAAATCATGTCCAACCATAGGGGGCAGAGCTCATCTCCATTACTAAACCAAAGAGCCAGCATTGTCAGAGACTACTCTGTGATCATTTGGCCAGCATGATTGCACAGAACATTGTTTATCTTCCCATTGAAGTGGTACCTATTTATCTACTTGCATTTGCATGCTTTTGAACTGCTCGGTTGGCAGGACCTCACCCCATCATGCAGCACCCGGGCCTCGCACTGCCAACCTGTCAATCTTGAAATCAACAGAGTCAGCGTCTTAACCACTTGAGCCACTGCATTCCACTAATAATTATTTTAAGTACATCAAAAATACCAGATATGTTTAAAAAGTTCAAAAACATGTTAATATTTTATCAATCAATCAGCAATATATGTTGTTTAAAAAGTGCTTCCCCCTACTCTGAGTTCAAAGCACTTTGTCTTTACCATGTGAAGAGTTTAATCAGTCATCTAATGAAGTTCTTCTTTCTTTTCAGCCACAGAGTCATTTTGCGTTGTTCCCTGTTATGTCCTTGATTTCTATCCACAGTTCTGGTTTATGGTTAATTATGTCTAGTACTGTAAATCTGTTCTTTATATGGCCTTTAAATAATACAGTTATATTCTTTAGATGACAGTTTGATGTTATGTTTTACTAAACATGTTTCTTTAGCTTTGGTGGTGTAGTGGTTTGAGTGTTGGACTATGATTCTGGAGACTAGGGTTCAAACCCCCACTTGAGCATTAAAACCCACTGGGTGACCTTGGACAAACCACACTCTCCCAGCATCAGATGATGACAGTGGCAAACATCCTCTGAAGAAATGTGCAAAGAAAACCCGGTGATATGGCTTTGGAGTCACCATAAGTCAAAAATGACTTGGAGGCACACAGCAACAATAATTTTTAAAAATAGCGGTTCATGGTTTGTGCCATAGCCACTCAGATTTATTTTTCTGAAGAAAATTAAATTTGTCCATCTTCTCCAGCCAAATATGTAGTCCATTTGATTTCTATATTGGCCATCTAGTATACAGGCATACCATAGTTAACAAAGCCCATGACAAAGAAACTCCTTTTTACATTTTTTTAACACAGCCTCACTCACCCACCTTTCTTACCATCTATCTAACTGGAAGGTGTTTTTGTTATTGTTTTGCAGCAGTGCATTGGGACAATAGTGAAGAAGAGCTTGAGAAATACTTTCATTGTTGGGTTGCAGCATGATAGCAAAGAAAGCAATAAAGTTTGACCTGGGGAAGAATAGGATTCTCCTGTAGGTGACCCTCCTGTAGATGTGTCTGCTTATGGACAACAGGCAAGGTAAACCAGTGCTTCCAAAATTACTGAGTGTGTGTGAGGAGAAAAACAGAAAGGAAAAGACAAAGGGCAAAGATAGTTTGCCTCACCTAACATGTTGAAAGAGCACAACATGTTGAAAGAGCACAAACCTATCATTTTCTGTCACCAAAATGGAAATCATAACAAAAGTGGAAACTTTTGAAAGAAAGAAAAAAATCGCCCCAGGATGCATTATGGAACAAGCTTTCAAGTGTTCATTAGAAGTTTCAAAATGTTTTTGTTTACTTATGGAAGGCTTACATTACCTGGTTGATCCATTTCACATGTGCATACTCATGGTTTGAACATAACAAAGACAATATGGCACACTGCCTTGTTCTTGCAGCATTCACACTTTTAATTAAAAAATGAGGACTTACCACTAGGCTGCCATTACTATACCTCTCACAATTGCACAACCAGGGTTGCTGCCACCATCATGCTCTCTTCCTGAACACTCCCTTAACCCTGTCACCCTCACTTATTGCTTACCCATCATGTCTTTAGGGCTTTCTTTGATTTTGTTTTCTCCCCGTCCCTTCCCATGCAGTTCCATAGCTCTTTTTAAAAACATTTTATTTATAACAATTTTTTAAAACAATAAAAAATATAGCATATGTTACTGTTTACAGCTGTTCTGTTATGTGAATATACACATTTCTTTGTTCATGTTTTTTTATTATTTTAGTCCTTCCACAAAATTTTAGCTCATGCTAATATTAACTTAAGTCAGTACTATCTGTCATCCTATTAGAAGTATTTTTACCCTCTAAAATAATAAAAAGAGGTTGTTGTTTTTTCTGTACAATTTCTTAGAATCTTGTTTGTTCAGCCATTATCAATTGCTTTATATATATTATGAATAGCATCATTATCATCATCTTTATCAAAATTACAAACTAAAAAAGGTGATATGTCTATACGTTTATAAGTCTACTAATAGCTGTAAGAAATTCTTTCATTCTCAAACTAATGTCTATATTCTGTAGTTGCCCATTTCATTGGTAGGCACTATATGATATTTATCTTTCCACATCTTCTTCCAGTGCTCCACAACAGGTAACCATTCTTGTTCTACTGTATCAAGAAAGCTGTTATTTAAACTACATGTAAGTTTAGCCAGTTCAAGCATATCTATTAATTTTATTAACCATTTTTTGGTTGTTGGTATTTTCTTTTCCTTCTAATATTTGGCAAAAGCTTTGTGGGCAGCTGTAGAAATGTATAGTATTGCTTTCTAATATTTATTTTCATCTATTTTTCTACTATTGATGTCATATTAAGTGAAAATAATGTTGGTTTCATTGGAATATTTTACCTGCAATTCCAGAGCTTTGCAGCTCTGAACTAACTCTTGAAAAAAGAAAGAAAATAATTAGGGCAAATTTTAAAAGATTATCAGGGTGCTTCAGACTAGTGATGGGGAGAGAAGATGAGGAGAGGAGGGGACATTGGCACTATGTGCCTGGTGACTGCGCAACTGCCCTGGGAGTGTCTCTCACACCTGCAGATTTGTGTGATTGCCAAGTAATTCACTAGATGAATGAAAAGGGACAGGTGAGGGACAAAACAGCTATGGATCAGAGGTGGTGTGGTGCGGTGAGTTTCATCAAAGGCACTTCCTTCACAGTGTACTCACCATTTAAAAGCAATGAGCAGTAATCTCTGACAAGTTTGCTTAAATATGTTGACCTTTATTTATTTATTTATTTATTTATTTATTTATTTATTTTGTTGGTCTAGGAACCTATCCTTATTCTTTCCACATTATTTCTACCTCTTCTATCAAAGTTTCTGTTAAAGAAGTAAACCCCAGGAATACATCAATTTTGTTAACTGATATGTACATAGCCACATATACAGCATCTATTGAGTTGCCTTAAGAAAAAGTTTGAAATGAACAAACTGCTGGCTTCACAGAATTCAAAAAGTCACTTTCTTGCTTAATTATGGGCCATTGCAGATCAGCTGCTAGACAACGAGGTGGCCGGTATACTACTAGACTCCCTAACCAAGCTGACACAGCTGGTCTCAGAGTTGCTGCTGGAGTCACCCAGACTTCTAGTTCTGGGCGACTTTAACATCTCACTCAAGACCAGTTTGTCAAATCTAACAAGTGCGGCTTGAGAGTTCAAGGAATCCATGACAAACATGGGCCTATCCCAATTGGTCGTCGGGCCCACTCATTGTGCGGGTCATACACTCGATACGGTATTTAGTACGGAACGGGAATATCCATGGGCGGAGCTTATTAAAACCACCATATTGTCATGGATCGATCATTTCCTGGTCAAGGCTGAACTAAGAACCATTATCCGCCCCACGGTGGTGGACCTACTAGAACAGTCTGCCCTCAAAGGCTAATAGAACCCAACTGGGGTGGTTGGTTTATTATTATTATTATTATTATTATTATTATTATTATTATTATTATTATTATTATTATTTTACTGTATTTATACCCTACTCTTCAGCCACAAAGACTCTCAGAGTGGCTTACAGATAGTTAATTAGACATTTCCCTGCCTTCAGGCTTACAATCTAAAAAGACATGACACAAAAGGAGAAAGAAATGGTAGTGGGGAAGGGGATCAGGTCTATCAATTCTTCTCTCCCTCTGAGGCTTGGACCATGGCAGATGGTATGGAGGGAGGCCTTCTTCTTTAGGCTAGGCCTGATGGAGCTGGGCCTGCCTTTTCACTCCTTCCAAGGCTGGGTGATGTCAGACAGCATGGAGGGAGGGCCTTCTTCTTTAGGCTAGACCTAATGGAGCTGGGCCTGCCTTTTCACTCTCTCTGAGGCTGGACAATGTCAGATGGCATGGAGGGAGGGCCTTCTTCTTTAGGCTAGGCCTGATGGAGCTGGGCCTGCCTTTTCCCTCACACTAATTCCACTCACATATTCTCCCACCCTGAGGCATTGCCTCAACAGAACAATACACACATTTACATGCTAATCCTCTCAACCAAGGGTCACACAGTATATATACCCTACATACCTCCATGACATCATTCTCTGAAAATGCCAGCCACAGATGCAGGCAAAATGTTGGGAATACATTCTTCTAGAACATGGCCTCACAGCCCAAAACACCCACAAAAAATTATTATACAACAGTAGCCAATTAATAAAATATAAAACATAAAACATAAAATAAAGTGTGTGCTGTGTGTGTGTGTGTGTGTGTGTACCTTTAAGCTCCATGAATTTCATAGGGTTTCTTACACAAAAAATACTTAGAGTGGTTTTGCCATTTCCTTCCTCTGAAATATAGTGTACAACACCTGATATCTATTTGTGGACTCACATCCAACTACTAACCAGGTCTAAGCCTGCTTAGCTTCCAAGATCAGATAGGATTTGGTGCCTTTACAGTATTTCTACAGTTAAAATAGAAATATAGTTGAAATAAAATATTCTAGAAGTAGTGCATAGAAACTAATCAATAATTTGCAGCAGGTAAAGGAAGTAAAATTAGAAAGGATTTTTTTAAAAAAAAAAAAAGCAAAAAAAAACAAAAAACAAAAAAAAACAGGCCTCTTAAATGTGTTCAAAAATGTGGATATGTTCCTCAATTGGCAAAACATCCAGAATCCTGTGGAAACAACTGAAAAGACCTTATTTCTTATGCTCACCAGCTGAACACATATGGATGGTCCTGAACTATTTGGGGATTTGTAGGTCAACATGAACACTCTGAATTCATCCTGAAAATGCAAAAGGATGTGTAGATCAAAACCAGCATTGAGAATGAGATCTAGATTGATCCTGATGATCTGGATCCATTTCAATCAGGCATTTTAGGGCATAGAACTGAAAGTATTTTGGTTTCTTGGAGAGAGCTGGGGAATACATTCAATTAACTCTTCTGGAAAGCTCTGAGTAAGATCAGCTATGGTGACCTGTATATGGTTAGGGTTTCTCTTTCCACTGCATCATTTCTATGGCAGGGGTGGAAATAATGCAGCCTACTTACTGAATTGCAACTCTCAGCATTATTCACCTGCAGATATGTTGTTTAAGGCATCTGAGAAATGCAGTTCAACTTATTTGGAAGGCCGCACAATTTCTAACCACATTCTTAACAGCTAGTGAAGATTTTACTGTCCATTAGTTGAGGAGAAATTGACTCCTTTAAAACCAGGAAGCCAGGAAAGATCTGACTGACAGCACTAGTCTGATTAGTGTCCTTTCTCAAAAAGGCTCCAAATATTACTCACCTAAAGTGCAAGTCAAGAACAGATGCATTCAATCCTTACAGAATCTCCTTAGAAAAACCAGGATTTAAATGGAATAAAAAGAGACAGCTAGGTCCACCCTTTATGCAAATGTGCCATGAAGCTTTATTAATCTGACCTTTGGAAAGAAATGAGAAATAGAATGGTGCCCTGCCATAATAGTTT